CTACTTTACTAGTTTCAACAGACTTTCTTAGTACTTTAATACTGGTTCATAGAATCTCTGAGAAATCCATCCCCATATTATCTGATATTCCACTGTTTAGTACTGTTGCTTACTGTGCTTGTGTAAAGCTGCTCTCTGTAACTCCATTCTGCATCTCTTTCAGTATGGAAATAGCCACCAACATATAATCTAATTCCATATTCTTTCCCTTATCCACCAACATATAATTCTATCTTCTTTAATTGAGTTTATTTGGGTCCTGTAGGATTGACGGGGCGAACTGCGAGTTTTCTGATACAAGCAAGATGTTCATCCTAGCCACTATAGAGACCTATTTGTCCAATTGACACGTCCGAAGGAATCAATGTTGGGACTTATAGGATCCTTAGCCATTCATGTGAGGATTGGATTGGCCATTGGGGATCTATAGAGAGTCCTTTTAATCAATAGCTGAAAGAAAGAAAGATCAAAAGAGGCACTGATAGTTTATTTATCACCAATTATCCAAATAGATTAATATTCAATGGTGGAGCAGCAAGCAAAGCAGTAAATGATTTCGCCTTGCTTGAATAGGGGCATTCCGGAAGAACAGGTTGTTCCAGCTCCATACCGTCAAGAGTGACTAACTATACTATAGCATAGGAAGATATTTTTCTTAGAAGTCCGTTTCCCTGCCCATATGTTTTCCATCGGGGAGCCTCCCTCATTCCTTTTATCGAGCATAATGATGCGAATCGGGCTTTCATAAGTGGTTTCTAATATGCAGCGCCAAGCAGTTCCGCTTTCTCAGTCCGAGAGGTGCATTGTTGGAACTGGCAATACGTAACGCTAACGCCAAACGGCTCTAGATTATAAAGGGGGTTGGTTTCAGCTATAGCCGAACACGAGGGAAAAAGCATTTCTACTACAGGAAGGTCCCAATAACATTTTCTCAAGTAATAGGGAAACTTTCCGTATTCTATTAGTTCTCTATCAACGGTCCAACAAAAACACTTAAATGCATCAAAAACCTCAGGCGGGCATGCATTAATAAAGAATCATTTTAGCAGACGGTGCGGCTACAGTAGGTGGGGAAGGCACTTTCTTTAGGCTAAAACTTCGTAGTCGCGCTTATATGCAATAGGGAAGGAAGAAGGTCAAACTTATCTTCTGAAGACGCAGTACTAATTAGCGAACGTCTGGTATATGAAGATATTAATACGGATTTGAACATCCAGATATATTCAATTCAAACTAATGTTACAAGCCAAGGACCAGAAAGAATAACTAAGCCACTTATAGAGGATCATTTACTCCGCTATTTAGAAAGAAATGGAGCAGCCTGGGATCTTAGGTATAAAGAGCTGAGATTGGAGTAGGTAAATTCAAACCTAAGACAGCAAACGAATCGTCGCATGCTCCAGAGGATGGATTATGACGAGCCTTGACTTGCTCATAACTCGCCGCCCAACTAACAACTAAGCTTGGCCCCTTCCCGTAAGCGCTCCGAGCAAACTCCTTGAAAGAATGCAAATAAACTCTATAATGTGCATATCTTATATCTACTCTATAATGTGCATATCTTATATCTACTCTATAATGTGCATATCTATATCTAATAGGAATGGTCAACTCCCTTATTCTTTTGAGTCGCCAACAAACACAGATTACTTGAGAACAGAAGGGGAAGGAGACGGAACTTATATTCTCGATGAAACTAGCACCGACCCTCTCTCGTCGTATGATTGACACCGCGCTTAAAAGCCTTCTTTCTTTATTGAAAACTGTCCCTACAGCTCTGTGAATGCTTGCTTGCTCGTATCAAGTCTAAAGTAAGGTATCATAAGATTGGACCTTGACCCCGGGAAGAACTAACTAACGCGTAACTAAGCAGTTCTTCTCAACACCGTAAGCACTCAGGCTTGTTCTATGCCGCTAGCTCCTCTATTTATTGTTCTATGCCGCTCGTAAGAGATAGATTCACAAAAGATAGAGCTGAAATTACTACTTTTGCTTGTGCATTAGAGAGTGTAGCTAACGGAGTGTAAATTCCCATAATTATATGTGTTACAAGTGAAATGTTGATTTGTGTTCTCCTAGGCCCAAGAAGTCCCCTTTGAAGTCTAGGCCAGGCCCTACTGCAGAGCTGGAAGTCCTGTGTTTGAGGGAAAAGCGTTAAAGCCAACACCCAGTAGTGGTCCAAGTCGAGTTGGGGTGCTAGGAAAGGAGCCCAGAGCAGAGATTGAATCTTCAGTTACCGGTGCGGAAGTCAAGTCTCTCGTTCTAGTAACAAGTGCAGGTCCAGGTCCAGTTATCGCCCCAACAGACTCAGCAGTATAAAGAGAAGGATAATAGGCAAGATCCGGCTTTTCTTTACTGGTTCGATAATAAGCTTAATCAGATAGAGAAGAGTTCGCCCGGAACCATATATGATACGGGAGCTAGGGTAAATACTCCATTCTTCTATGCCAGGTGCTCGATATACTCAATGAAATGTTATAAGCGCTATGGGGGTCCTCTTATACTCAATTCCATACTAGATGCGGATCGGAGTAGTTTCACCCTATATGCTATGGGAGAGTCCGGATCTGGAGCTGGGTATGAATAAGTATTAGAAGCAAGCAAGTCCTGTCTTTGGCTAAGGTTAGGCGCTAACAGAGTTTCAATTCCTATGAGATATGGCGCATCAGCATCAGTGACAGTTCAGTGTCATTTATAACTCACTGCCGCCAACTGTTCAAGCAGAAGCATAAGAAAGAGAATTGTTCAAGCAGAAGCATAAGAAAGAGAATCCGAATGTTACAGCAGAAAGGATAATGTCTTTTCTAGATAATTACTATAGTAGAGTTTAGAAGTAATAAAGTGAGTGAATCTGTTCGTGTGCCAAAGTCATCTGAAACTAGAGTTCGGGCAAGATAGGGAATTCCACAGAAGATTTGTTTAGACCATAGCTTCAACTTAGAGATAGAGGCCTAACACAGCTCGCGCACAAAGCTGGAACTAGGAAGTCACCAAAACCATATGTAGTACCCGTACCTGGAGTGGAATGATTTGAGTTGTGGAATTCTTAGTGTTATACCTGTAGTACCAATACCTAAGTTGCATTTTGTTAGTACTGAGTGCAATTCTGACCTTAGTAGCAGAAGAGGGATAGGGATGCGTTAATTAACTGAGTTGTCTTACTAGGAGTTATATACTAAATGCCTAAATGCAGAGAATTGGTAATATGTTTCTTTCTTTCCTTGTAGCTAGAGATATCCTACTTCCTGTTCAAGAGGTAGCTTGCCTGGTCACTTTCCTAGACACGGGTACTATCTAGAGAGCATAACCAGAAGCCTCAGATGGATCATTGGATGCTGGATCAAGGAAGTAAGTATCCGAGGATTGTCCTGCTGGGAGCACTACTAGGTTTCACAAGTCCTGGTTTCGGGTGCTAAGCCTACGATGGGGCTGGATCAGATGATGCAGAAGAAGCAAGACCTGGAGAAAGATCTTCAAAAGCCAACAAGCCAGGCCTCTTCGGGTTGTATTCTTGTGTAGTTGGGGTTAATAAATAAAGTCTAGTTCGGGCGCTAAACTCGAAAGAGGGTATTAGTTTTGTTTACTTGACTCTAGCTCTCAGTAATGACCAGAGAATGGACTGTATTGCCCCTAACCTTATTTCTTATGATCCTCTTCAGCGCTAAGTCAATCAGCAGTAAGCACATCTGTTCTTATAAGTCTAGGTTCGGTGCTAGTGTTGTCTACGAGAGAATTGCTTGGTAAGCTGGATTCAAGTAATTAGTAAGTGGTACATTAGATTAGCGAGTGAAACTTCAATCACTCATGTCGGCACCCTTTCCTGTTGAATATCTTTCATAGGGAGGACCTGGCCTTTGAACAAAACCCTTCTTTCTTATCTTCTGCTGGTTCCTAAGCATGTTCACAAGATCTGATTGCATAGTCTCTCATAATAGCATGTAATAGATTTATTTCCGAGCTACCGGCTTGCAACAAAGAATGAAACGGAATCCCTTGCTTCTGAGAAATAGGAATATGCTTCCCCGACCCAAGAGTAAGCTAGATATAGGCACCTCGAAACCGAAAGTAGACTTACTGCGGACTAAACCTGCGCTGAAGAAGCACTTTATTAAGATTATGCCCTAAACCCAGACTTGACTAGCACTGCGGATTCTATACTGGAAGACGATGAAGATAGGAACTCAACAAATCATTCGGAAACTGGCTGTTAGCGCAGAACTTATATCTACTTAATGGACTTTGCTAGGATAGGAATAGGATGAGACTGATTGACTTAGGGTAGTGTAGTGCATCAAAGCCAGTAATAGCTTCTGATCTTGTGGACAAAACTCGTATTGGCCAACAGTAGTTAATCGGTTAAGGCAATTCGTGTCTTGATTGAAGATTGCCTATTATAAGATAGGTAAATTCATAGAACAAATAGAGTTTTGGAGTTGATAGAACAAATAGAGTTGGGGCATCAGCAGGAGTAGAGAATAAAGAGAAGATACTTGCGCCGAAACAGGAGTAGAATCATTAGCCTGTATCCGGAGTGTCAAGATAAGATACGGGATAAGGTGAAGGTGAGGAATACTGATCTTCGGTAGGTAAAGAATATAGAGCTTTCTCTCTGATGCTAAAGAATCCGCTGGTCCTGTTAGCACCCAATAGTCGTGGAGTTCCTCGTCGAATTCGGTATACCTATACTCTGGCTACTCGGGAGGACGCCCATTATTAAAGATGGAAAGTCCGGGTTTGAGAGTTATAAACGAGTATTGTTTTCGCCTGTCCGGGGTAGTCAATTAGGGAGTATCGGTTGGAAATGAATAAAGTCAAGGCTTTGTTGCGAGGTGTGAGCTAGGTCAGTGATTCTTATTGGAATACCAGGTCCTGTAGTTGTAGAGAGGGAAGCCGGAGTGGAAAGAGATGAGATGAGCCTTTGTTAGATTAGATGAGAGCCATAGGATAGGCTTAATTAAGTGCTTGTGTTAAGCATAGAAGAAATCTAGAATATTTGTTAGCTTGTCCCCTCCTAAATGGGATCTTTTCTTTATATATGATGAAACTCACTCGGGTCGGGGTGAACACTTATTAGAGGTCGGGTCTCATAAGAAAGAAAGTATAGTTTAGGTTGCCAGGTAGCTGGGTGTTAGAGAGAGTGGAGTCTAGGCCCTTATAGTATGTTGGAAAGTACTGGCTAGCTGTTCAGGGAAATAAGTTTGAACTCCTTAAAACAGTTGTATTTTAGGTACTTAGGTGTCTTCTCTGTTCTGTAGCAAGCAAGAGTCTAAACGGTCTTATTCTTGCCCAACCCCAGTACGGGTAGTTAAGTAGGAGACAAACAACTAATAAAGGGGATGAAACTATCAAGTAGGAAAGTCAGAATGAAAGTCGTTACTTGGCCGCCTTTCGTCGTTGCTTGGCCCCCGCTTGCAGCTTACTTCAGAGCTGTTGATTCGAGAGACCCCCGATCATGTGCTTACTTACTTTAAGAATAGAGTTTTATACTTTTCCTGAGTGAACCTGTGCCCTTAATTAGTGGGCCAAGCGTATACTAAGTGCTTTTGAGTCTGCTGAATCCGTATCTGTATCAGGAGCCTCATCCAAGTTATCAACTTTGCCAACAACAAGAACTGGCCAATCAACTGATTCTGCTTGAGTTTCATTATTATGCCACTTATATACCTGCCATCAAGGGAAGCGGGAACAAAGACAGGACAAAGAATTCCATTACAATAGAGAAGGTAGAAAACCACTTATATATCCGCAGAGGTAGGCCAAGTAGTGCTTCATGCCCCAAAGAGGTAGACAATCAGTTGACTAAACCCCGGGGCAGGGAGGATAGAGTGAGTTCAGGTCGGGTGTTCAAGTTGTCTAGGTTGGTGCTCCAGCTCCAGTAGTGTATTGGACCTATCAAATTCATTAATATCTTATTATAGATTACATTTAGGATGAAACTCGGGATGGTGCCTATATAGAACCCGTCCTGGGTAGTCAATATAGATGTCCGGGGGAGTCAATGCCCCTGAAAGTAGTAGTGCACACCTGTTATAGAATTCAATCCAAAAAGTAGAGTTGTTGGCTTGCAGCTAGGTTCGAGTATGGTTCGCTTGAGTCTAGGTATTGTTTGACTTTCATCCTTTTGAAATAGATAATGGAATCCAAATTTGTTGCTGTAGTGACTTGGCTCATAGCAAATAAAGAAATAGTATTAGGACTTTTGTTCTACTTGCCTAGTGTCTTGTCTGCGTTTCTCTTGCTCTCGTACTGTAGCTTGTCGTCTTGTCTGCTTGGCCCTGGTTTTGAGTTACAGCGCTGTTAGCATTGGTTCCACTCTCTTGATTAGTGGAATTACCTGTTTTGAGTTCAAGAGTTAAGAAAGAGGATTTCAAGAGTTAAGAAATAGGATTTCAATAGTTAAGAAATAGGATTGAAGTCTGCTGCCCCAGGTCCAGGTCCAAAGTAAGGTAAAGAAAATGCACCGATCATCCGAAATATCGGTTCACTTATTTAATGATATTACAAGGGTCGGGGTCGGGGTGTAATAGAAGACATAGGAATGAGTCGTGACGGCGTAGTTACTTGGCCATTAGTAGTTGCTTGGCCCGGCACAGTAGAGGAAAGCCTACTAGATGCTATATTATCCTTATTAAGGATGACAGATCAAACTAAGGAGTCAAACCGGGGATAGGATCCAATCCATCTTTGGCTTCGGCTTTAGCCTCTTATTCTTATTAAACTCGGGATGAAACTATAGTACAGGCTTGGAGAGAAAGAGTTAATGGTTGGAAGGTTACCTATTCTATTTCAATATGTGCTATCGTAGTTGCTCTAGGATAACGGATTCCACAGGAAATCTCTCTCCTCACTGACAACCCTCGCTACGAACCTAGACAATTATAACTTGACATACTTTAGAGGATAGATAGGCGTTAACACTAGAGGCCCTTATTGTAAGTTTCGGGAAGGTAGAATCTGTCACCAAGGAAAAGAGGTCGACAAGGTCAGTTGAGTTAGCCGTTGCGCAAGGGAACCAGCAAGCAATTCAACAAGTTCGGTTATTAAAGTGGAGTCTTGTTCGAGGCATAATCTAGTACTTGCTTTGAAACGAGGTGTACAAAAGTCGAGAGAGTATCTAAAATAAGTGTTGGTTTGGGTTCAGAAAGTGGAGGAAATTCCGTATTTCGAGTTAACCCTTGTGCCTCTGTCTGTCCTTAATTCTTCCATTCCCTCTTAAGCCCTTGTGCCTCTGTCCAATGTGTGTTGCCTATGCCTTTGTGCTTGAATGTATTGCCTATGCCCTTCAAGCAGAAGCAATTGAGTGCTACTAAAGCCATAAATAATATGAGTATAAATGAAGCATGCCACACCTTTCCTAAGGTGCATTCGCATTCTGTCTTCTTTACATTCCAAATAAAACAATTGAACTTGACATGGCACGCAAAGAAAGGGAAAAAGCCATGAGCAGAGCTCTACGGGGAAAAGCCTAGTATTAAAGGTGAGGTAAAATTCCTACCCATTAGATATGCGCACTAGATCAAATATTTCAATGAAGCGCATGCATCAGTTCAGAAATGTTGATTTGAGTTGCACGATAGGAGTTTTGACGTGTTAGGGAGCAGCAAGCGGGTAATCTTCAAGGGGAGTAATTGTATCATTGTCAGCCGCAAGCGAGTAATCAGAACTTCCAGTCGGGGGTAAAGGGAATAATCCAGTGTATTGGCGTAGCAGCTAAGGGAAGAAAATCAGATAGTACGCGCAGGAAAGTCAGAACTATACTGGAGAGGAAGAAACGGAGACATTGTTGTTACCCGCTGCTAGGCATTCTATAAGTAGGTAAACAACCATAGTTCATCAAGGAGAGTTCCATTGTGTCTGGCTCAACAAGTAAAGAGAACTCAGTTAGCGCTTCTAACTCCTTATTTTAAGCTTTAAGCACGAATATCTGTTTCGAGCTCCTTTCCGAGATACTTTCATTGCATCTTTTCCTGCTTAGCTTCTAATACTTCTTCGGCTTTCAGATACGGAACCTGATCCTACTCTTGGTAAGACTTCTGCGCTCTCCAGTGAAGAATTGCGAGTAGAAAGTTTTCATTGAAGAATAGAATGGCTGTCGGCACCCTGCTGTATACTGCTTGCAAGTATTGGTAGGGTAGCAGCGAGATGGTTTACTTAGCACTCTCACTGTTTACTTGTTCGAATGAATAACATTAATAAGATTCTCTCTCTCTTTTGCATATTCTATAATTACTGACACTCCTGCGAAACTCTACAACACTATCATCACAAGTAAGGCCGGCATAGAGGTCACTTTTACCAGGCCGAGACATAAAGGGAACTCGCTGGAAATGTTCTGCTTGCTAACATTGCATAGGAGCACTCCCACTAAGCTCACGTTAGCCCTTTGCTTGCTTGTTCTCTCAACTCGACGATGAAAAAAGGAATGGAATGCACAACCCATATATGAGTTTGTAGTCACCTAACAAAACACGTGTACTGCTGACTTGAAGCTCTAATGACTTTTATCTGCTCCTGATATCCCTTCCCTATGGAGAAGCCCTTATGTGTTGTTCCCTGCCTGAACACAATAATAAGTAAGAGCGCCCCGAAGGACTCTAAAGAATGGAATTTCTGAAAGCAGCTCATAACTCCTAATGCTATGAATTGCATTTCAATATTCTCTCTTGCATAGTATGTAAGATATGATTTCTCAAGAATCAAACGCGATTGCCTAGGATATAATATCTGAATGTGAAAAACACAGAGCATAGCTTCGAACCGGACATTGGCACTTGCGAGGAGAGAGTGCGCCCACCTTAGGTAATTATGTAACCTGATTGCTTACTCATGAAACAAAAACAGCTACAAAACTCTTCAATTCCAAATCAATATTAGATAGAGGCGCCCGATCAAGTGCACAAGGGCTTGCGAAACTGTTTCTATTTTGCATTTCATGCGCTTGCTCAGTTCTTGGAGTTGTGCTAACAGAGGTTCTTCAAGGATGGTTTCTTTTGGTCCTAGTGTTGGCGCAAGAAGAGGTGTAGCAGTTAGTTAAAGCTAAAGTTGGGTCATCCGCAAGCAACGAAGCTGGACAAGAAGTTGCATCCTAGTAAGCGGGACAATCCGTATAGCTTTTATCGTCTAATAAGCCATGTTTCTAATAAATGAATGGAATGGAATAGGCATTGAGGAAAAAGTGGGAATTGGAAGAATGGAATTCAGTATCCAAGAATTCCACTAGGGAAGCAATGGAAGGTATTGGCTAAAGCCTAGGCGCGGGTAGTTTACTTGCTTGTTATAGGCTAGTTGACTTACTTGTTTTGGTGGTTACTCTACTGCAGGTTCGGTGCTTGGAAGCAATGTTGCTAATGTTGCTAAGGTTGCTAATGTTTCTAAGGTAGCTAAGGTAGCTAATATAACAGATGGGGGCAATCGGTAGGCTTACTACTGACTACTGGGTATTATTGCGGGTTCCAATTTAGATTAGTGCTTCCTAGAAACTCTGAGAGAGCAGCGCAGAAGAAGAGGCAAAAGAAGAGAGAAAAAGAGAGAATTCGGTAGAGAGCGAAACGGCAAAGCCAGAGCAATCAGGGATAACAAGGAAGAAGAACACAGAACAGACAGAGAAAGAAACCAGTTGCTCACTAGGAACTAACATAACTCTTGACATCAGTGGAACGGTGGGCTATTGTATGTTCGGGTTCTTAAATAAGACATAAGCAAATAATACAGGTAAGACATAAGCAAATAATACAGGGTGGTACTCCTTCGGAGAACTTAGAAACACTTTATTAATAATTTGTCAAAGAATAGTTTTCTCATTTCGAATTATTTTATGGAATTTGGTATTTCATTTGAATTTGTATTATCTTATTTCATTTGATTAGTTTGCAATAAGGAGGAAAGCCAAAGCGGAGGAAGAAGAAAAGGACTATATACTGACGAAAAAAGAAAGCAAGGAAACAAAGAAAGCATGCAGAGAAACCATTTATAGCAACGAGGACAAGATAACGAAAACGTGGGAGCCGACACGGGGAAAATAGGCTAACAATCTTCTTGTGGGAGCGACGCTCGATAGCCAT